CAAATTGCTTCACGGGTTAACGACTTGGAGTTTAAAACGTACCCTCAACTTGCCCTGATTTTCATTTCGAGAAAAGAGGGGAAAAAGAGTTTGGCGGCGTATTACCGGTGACGAGATTATAACAGATTATAACACCAAAGCTGTCAATGTTGATGCATACCAGAAAAGGGACAACAATAGTGACACAGCAGGAAAAGGTTACAAACGAAACCCGACAACAGATGAACAATTTATTTCAAAGGCTCTGGTCTGTTCATAGGCGTACGGGCTATTTTTTGCCAGGGGGGGCGGTAAACCATTTGCCCAAAAAATTTTTGCAAGTTGCCCAAATTTTTACAAAACAGTCGAACAGAAACGAGGACCGATGCAACAACATAGGCCGCACTGGCATATGAAAATGGCTCCATACAGTTTTTCAGGGTCAATACCTGCCAAATTTGAGCATAAACTACGTCGCCATAAACAAACATTTGGAAAAATTACCACCACAGTTGTATTAGATAAAGATGAAAATTTGTTGTGGTCAGGGTTGCAATGACATCGGAGTTGTTATAGCAACGAACTGAAGCCATTACCTATTATGCTTGCAGCTATATTTCTCTCTGGGAACTGTTCTTCTATAATCGATCACAGGAGCTTTTTCCTCCAATAGTCCCTTCGATGTTCGTGAAGTTAAAACGGAATCTGTAACAGCGTTATCGAGATATTTTGGGATGACGTTTTTATCGTTGGAAATAGAGTAAAAAAGGAAAATCTAGATGTTTGGCTGTTATCTGTAGAAAACGATGCGCTTTTGATATGCAATTTCACCTCATAGTAGTTTCAATCTTTTTAAAAATGTGGGTGATAGATAATGGAGATAGCTGGGGCCAATTGCTACAAAGAAGGATTTGATTAGTATGTATCATGGCGATCTTGTTAGCGGTTTTGTAAACATTTCAGTCTACTTTAACAAATTATTGAATAATTTTTAAACCGCTCGATAGACTTTTTAAAAAAATCAAGATTCTTCTCGCAATTCAAACTGAGAATTACTCAGCCACTTCTTCACTTTAAGACCCATTGCTGATGCTATCTGCCATACAGTGTTCTACGAGCGGAGATGATTCTAGAAAGTTTGACGAAAGTTTATTCCAATCAATTCACGACTGGAAATAGCTCATTGCAGTACAGTGCCCAACAATAGAAAATAAATCAGCATATGATACCTTTCCTTTATAACCAGAAATTCGTCACGTGCTAGGCAGACACTGTCTCGTGTCAATGTAACTGGATTATTACGCCGACTTCAGGTTAAAATAGAAAATATTTATCTCTTCAAAATAATAATGAAAACATGGAGACGTCTTTAAAAACTGGCTTTGCCTAAATTTTCTCGTGCTGCCCAAAAAATCTGAGTTGCCCAAAATTTGGGGGGGGGCTGCAGCCCCCCTCGCCCCCCCCCGGCCCGTACGCCTATGGGTCTGTTCGATCTTTCTGTTGTCGAGAAAGCGTCTTTAGTTATTTGCGACGGGCAGTTTTCATTTTGAGCCAAGCCAACGCAGAAACTATGCTCGACTTTAGGAAACCAGAAAAAAACACATCAAATACATTAATAACTCAGGCTTACCAGTCAAGGTGCTCCTGAAGGCCATCAGAATCGCTTGAGACTTTTTTGAACCCTCTTTATAATACGCATCAAGCAAGGGGAAATGAGGAAAAGCGATCCATCCGAAATCGGATTTCCGATGACTTTGACAAGCGGCGCATTTCTCAACCAAAAACCAATAAACAAACCAGTCATGAACAAGAATCGCCGAAAGGCGATTTTTAACTGAGCTGCAAAGGGGCTATTTTTTCTGAAGGGAGGGGGCGGCTATACACACTCAGGCTACCATAAAACCTTGTCGGCAACCATTGCATGCGACAGAACCTCATATGAGACTGAAACATAAACTCATTCAGAACATTGTACCCTTTTGAAAGACTTTCGTAACCAAAAAAAAGAGTACCATTTTTAAGTGGGGGCTGTATAATAACTTTTAAATTCTACCAATATGAATAAAAATAAACAAGTTAGCCATTAATTCTAAGCAGGAAACAATTTGCATTATTTCCACGCACCCCTCCACCAATCCCTCTGTGCCCCAAAATATAGCGTGACAGTATAACGTGACTAATTTGACGTAACTGGAAATTCCAAAAATTGTTGTCGTTCTACGAGCATAAAATGGGCCAGACTGAGCTGATTTACACTAGACAGAAATATTGTATTGTATGAAAACCAGAAGTATACTAAAACAGACAGTTAACTGCCCATTGATCCCGCCTCACTGACTGCACGGAGACTTTACTGCGCTTTTCACAAACATGCGAACTCTAAAGTTAAAAAGTCACCTTCACAATTGTGGTTATTGCTGCCGTCTATCATAATTACGATCACAAGCAACGAACCTTGAAACAGAGAAACACACAAAACGGATCGAAATCTACAAATCACAAACCATGACTTTTTGAACCGCGTAAAGTAAAGTTTTGTTTCCTAGGAGGTCCGTTAAGATGATTGACAGCAGCGAAAAACGCAATCGTCGGTTGGCTTCTGAACTGCAGAATTCGCATGTTTGTGAAAAGTGCGATCCTAATTTGCGGTCCCCAGTCTACAAAAAAACGCACTATTTTTTCCACAAGATGAAAAATATTCAGTTTTAAGATTCATGGTATTTTTCTCTAACTTAAAGGAAGAAAATCCTTTGCATTTTGAGACCTAAACTAAGTTTAAAGATTTCTCGCTCGCATGTCGCGTTCACCAGCACGCACTTCAACAATGTAAATAGATGAAACGATCGATAACATAGTTTTTACCTGATACCGATGCAAGCTTAAATTCGTTCCAGTTCTGTTTGTCTCACCCAAGACGAACTTTTCTTCATGGAAGATAACTATGCCGCTTTATAACTCGTCCGAAGTTTTTGTGCCAGCTAAACAATATGGAAACTCTATTCACAGTGACTCCTTGGATATTATTTTAAAAAGACTGAACGTGACGCACTATTATGCCTTTGTTTACTTCTGATCACATCTTCAAGCGAAGTCTCTCTTTTCAAGCGATTCATCTCAGTGCACAATAATTGTCCCTTATATTAGTTAAAACCCTATTGTTCATTTATATTAATGCTGTTTTTGCTCCTCACATCGACTCTGTTCGTTCGTATTCAAAACACCTTTACGAAAATAAAGGTCGTATAAGTCATGTGTGTTTTGTTTCGAGATAAATGGATTATACGCTTTTTTAAGTTTCCATTTTGCGGTGACTTCAGTTTACATCTCCATAAAATGGTAAAAGAAATATCAAGAAACATCACGAAAGCTGAAAACTTTCAAAGGCATGTTTCTGAAACTCGCTAATGCTGACATCAATATAGCGTGCTTGCTGAATGGGCGAAAACACAGAATTGTGATCACAAGATCATGTACAAATTTAATGATAAAAGCTTAGCAAGATACAAATACAAACAAAAGCAAACCCCCTGAAACCTCGACGTGGGCTACACTTGTATGCTCTACTCAGTCACCAGACCTTGTCAGTAATGTATCGGTCAAATCGAAGCTTCAACATGCCCCCCCACCCCCGGGCATACCCCGGGCATTTGATACCTTTGCCGTCCCGGGGAGGAGGGAATTTGATTATCAGAGTCTTCCAGAGGGTGGGGAATTTGATCCCCATGCTTTAGGGGTGGGGACTTTGAACTGCACCCTCGATTTCATGTAAAATCTTTGGCGTGGCCAGCTATCATGGCGGACGCGGTGTTAAAGGATTTTCGTGGAAAATATTGTGCCTTTGTGGCCAGTTGGTTACAAGGAAAGGGCTTAAACAAGCTTTGTGCCGTATTTGAAGTATTAAATTTTAAAAATTTTAATATTGGATTCAGGCTTTGAATGTGTGAAAGTATTTTATTTTTGTGTTTACAATGAAATACAATACCTATACCGGCGATTCAATACAACAACATGAAATAAAATAAAATAAAAAGCTCCGGTCAACTTCTTTGACTAATACTGTTAATTAATAAGGTGAGCGATGATGCATGTCAGAGAAATGGTCATGATGTAGTAATGCACCAGTCAATTGAAACCCCCACCCCCCGGGTCCCGGGAAAGGGTGGGGGATTTGACATAGGCTCTGGTCAAAAGGCATCAATATCCCTACCCCCTGAGGCTGGAGTTCAGATCAAACGCCACTACCCCTGGGGCAAGAAAGCTGATACTATCAAAAGTTGTAAGAAAAGAACGTGCAAGACCTACATTTACATGGGAAAATTTAATAATGTTCTTCTTCCAGGTTTGTGCAGCTTTGATTAAAATGCTAATCACACTCTCATACAGTTTGTTCAACTATTAAACGAAGGAAAAGCATGCTGTATTTCATTATTGGTCATGACCATCTCATTACATGTATTTAATAGACTGCAAATTAGTGAAATTTGAAATACACTGTATATATTATCACACAAACTCCGTTTATTTGGCTCAAGTTCAGTTTTTTAGAAATTTAATACCTTAAACTGTCTACTGAGGTGAATTCTCCATGGCTGCAACCTTGCACTGTGCGCAAATCCACTCTCCACTTGGTGCTGTTGAAAGCCCCACACACTGAAAATGGAACCACTCTATGGGACAGTCTTTATGTTCACAGGCAATCATGTCTCCACACTCTGGCCCTCCACAAATACACCACGAGTCAGGGGTGTCAACAGCTGCTTTACTAGACTTCTTCTTGAGAGAGTTCTCTTTTCTTTTTGCAGAAGCTTTCTGGGCACCTGCTTGGCGATGTTTCCTCACATCACTTAGGTGTCTTACCCACATCTCAACTTCATCGGTACGGAGTAAGGTTTGCTTTGCTAGTTTCTCTATCTCATCGGACGTCAGTTCCAGACATTCCTTTTGTTTTTTGTCAAAGGCATCTTTTATCACAGTACTTGGAGGAGAAATGGAGGCTTTGCTCAAATTGCAGTTATCCACTGCTAGCACCTCTTCTGGTCCCTTGTAGTGTCCACTACAAATACCACTGCACTTGTCACATTCCTTGGCTCCCCAAGGTCGTTTAGGGTCTGGTACTGGAAATGGCAGGTACTGAATACTTGGCCCTCCTGGGAACCATAATGAATCATTGGCTGGTTTTCCGTTCTTGCAAACTGGATGGATGCAACCCTCCTTGTAACAGGCTTTGAGAGCAAACACATACCCACTTGGAAGGTTTGGTACCATGTGCTGGTTCCGTAAGTTCCAAACCTGTTCAAAGTAATGATATTGATTTGGCTCCTTCTTCTTGAGTTCGGCCTTAGCTGCTTTGGTTCCCCTCAAATACACAAGTAAATTCTGTCTCTGATCTTTCAGCTCTGTTGCATGCTTATCTGTGGCACCTCTGTACATTTTTATTACAGATGAACCAAATGGTATGTCATTGACTCTATCCAAATACACCTGCAGTGCTGCTTCCATGTTTTCGTGTAATCTATCCTGAGATACTCCTCCCGTTTCAGTTTCGGCAGATCCACACAATGTCGACGGTATAAAGAGATTAGCATGCGCTCGGCCAACAACACCATTCTGCAGCTCTACAAGATTGTAACAGCTCGCACCACTGTTCCTTGTTGTGACCAGTGTCAATTCCCTTCCTTCTTTTAGATGCCATTCGGTCCATCGAAACTGTACCTCAACATGACTTGGGCCCTCATCGGCTCCCCCATCAACTCTAATACAATCAATGTTCTTTCCTTCAAAACACACATCCATTTCTGCTTTTTCTTTCAAACAGTACAAGTCAGCAAGATGCTGTGTTGCTGTTTTCTCGTGTAGAACGCCAGGTGCTTTGACAATCCCAACAGACACTTGACCAGTGGTTTCCGTCTTCATGAATAAGTAAGATGATGTTTGAAGTTGACCTCCGTGTTTGCTTACATAGTCAGAATGTGACGTGAGTTCTGGCTTTCCTTCCAAGCAGACAGCTTTATGGTTCTTATGTGTGTAAGTACTATCCAGACGGAATCCTGCTTGGTCGTCTCTATTGAGAATCATTTTATCTGAACCGTCTTTTAGCTGAAGCATATCAAGGCCCTTGTAAAAGCAGTATGACCAACGGCTATCGGGATTGAATTTGACATCAAAACCTTTACGTGCTCTTCTGCAAGTTATTGCTGCAACACCCTGGTAACGCTGAGCCGAAATCCTTCTCTTGTTCCTCACGGCACACAACTGAACAACGGTACCATACGATATCGATATGCCATACTCCTTTTGTAGATGCTCTTGCATCCTTTTGTAAGTTACTTTAGGCCCTGTAGAATTCTTATTACTCGCGAAAGTAAAAACTCCAGTTCTTCGCCACTGGTCTGCACCAACCCGGTGTTTCTGAACAAAGTCTTCCATTTTTTTCCTATATCAGGGTACTTTGTCACAATGGTAGACACTTTCTTTTGGAATCTTGCGTTTAAGAAGGGCTTCTTTAGCTATAAGCTTTGAAGTTTCCCTTTAGCAGCCATCTTGATTTTTTTTTTTCTTGTTGCACTTTTTCTTTTGCTTCATCAGAACAAATATCATTGATTTCACACCAGTCTCCATCATCAGATTCACTGTCAGTCTCAAATATGGCGTTGCCTAGAGATTGTTTCCGCTGAATCTCTAAATATGCCTGTCTACTAATTTCGATCAATTGCTCTTCTGCTGTTGAAAGATCACTATAGGGGATGAAATCAGCAAAGTCAACAAGTATTTGATTTAAAACTTCAGGGTTATCTGTTGGTAACATGTTTTTAGCTCAGCCACAAATGTAAACCAGTTAAGATTGTTTTCTCTTAGTATTAACAACAGTGTTTCTCTTGAAGGTGCTGGATTTACAGTTGGATTTTTCAGTATGTCCGTGTCATCTGGATCAAACATACCCCTGTCTGATGTTCCTTTTTCCTTTGATACTGCATTTTCTTGTGCAACCTTAACAAAAGAACTCCCATGGTCTGAGCTGTCTGTATCATGTTGTCCTTTATTGGAATGCAGCTGATCACTTAATGGAAACTCTTCTTCATCTTCTGTTGCATCTTCTGACGAAATCCATTGAACATCTTGAACTTCGCCAAGGTCAGTACTTTCATCCTCTGAATCACTGGATTCGTAGTCAAAGCCAATGGTGCGCAAAAGTGCCTTTTCCTTGACTCGTGCAAGCTCTGCCACTGTTTGTTTGATTTCACTTGCCCTTCTAAGGGTCTCTTCGATTTTCCTTTGTTTTTCGCCGAGATTTTGAACTCCATATCGCTTCCGAGCTTCTTTAGCGCTAAGCTCAGAACAAGCAGTCATTTTTAGTAGCAGACGATCTGTTTCAGTGGTTGCTAGTTCACATAAGGCGTTTATTTTTTGTCTAGATGGAAGCTTTTCTCTGACATTTGCTTTCTTCGAATGCAAGAACTGTCTCATTATGACCACAAATCTTTGTGCATCAACTCCAGGTTGGAATTCTGTAGCATACAGTCTTTTTGATCCTGGGCCTTCAGGTGCAATTTCCATGACAATAAGTGGCAGCTGCATTAGCAGCCTTACCGCCTTTGAACTTATATACTTGACCTTTGGAAAGTGTTTGATAAAAAATGCCTTCAGTTCAACAATTCCATTATTTATGACATCGTGGGCAAACGAAATCAGTCCCTCGCACTGTGAACAAACTTGTAATTCTGAACAATGTTTCCTAGAGCAAAATTCTCTCCTTGCAACAGCAACTTCTTCAAGTGTCATATCATTAATTAACGCAACATATAAACCATCGTCAACTTTGTATTTAGACACATCCGATAAACAAGAAGAAAGATGTGACACATATCGTGTATAAATGTCACTCCTAGGAGCGTCTTTATCTACAAAAAATGAGCCTTGCTCCCACTATCAGCACTCCTTGTGCCATTATTGTTGTCTCCTTGTGACTCATTTTCTGGTGTATCATTCTCTCCAGGTTTATCTCCAGAATGCTTGGCGACTTCATCAGAAACCCTTGACGACTGTGTTTCCTCCTGATTAGTACAGGTAGCTTTAGTTGAATTTCCTCTGGCTGTACCTGCTTCCTTACTCAATGGTTCTGCTGGTGTAACTGACTTTCCCCAGAAAGATGTCAATGTCTTAGTTGAACTACTCGAAGACGATGACCCGTCAGAAGACGAGGAACTGGTTGACTGCTTATCTTTGTACCATTTGGCTTTTGCCTGTTTTTTCTGGATAAGCAACACCTCTTCTTCATGCTTTCTTTTTTCTTTTCGCAGCTTGGTGATCTCCTCTTCTACCGCAGAGGCTCGCATGTACTGTTTAAGTTGCTCATCTCTTGCTCTCTGTTGTTGCAAAAGTCGTATTCTATCCGCGAGGCTAGCTATATCATCTGTGAGTTCTTCAACCTTCTTAGTACGTAAGTGCTCAGACATTTTCACTTTCTTGCTACTGCTACCATGCTCCATTGATCCTGTTCCAAACAATTTTGATCTTGATCTTTTCTTGATGTAATTGTAGCCGTCATTATCAAGTTTTTTACGACAAAGTTCTATAAGGTTCTGTTTGTCATCTAACAGAGTGGGATTTTCAATGCACAATTCAAAGGCATTCGCATTCATTCGTTGATGGTATGTTCTTGAGCTTTTGGCATACAGCACACTTCTCTTCCTGATATCTTCAACATTCAACTCGACGGTCACTTTGTTAGAGTCTGCTAAAGAAGGCTCATTCTAGAGAACAATAATGGAAGCCAAGTAACATAAATATATTGTCTGTGGTCTTATTCACACTAGAAAGATTTTGTTTATAATTATTTCTTTCAGATTTCAGTTTCATGGGTGACTGGATGTCACTGCATTTTAAAACAACTTAACCCTTTAACACCTGTTTACGTCAGCTGACGTAAAAAGTTCATAAAATTGTTAATATTTGGTCTATTTCAATGAAATTTTGCCACAAAAATGGTCTTGGAAAGATCAGTTCATTTCCAGAATAAAATTGTACCCCTCTAGTATCTATGACATGGTTGACCACCCCTGGAACTTTTGACAATTTTTTGTTTTACACATTTGCAGTGTGAGACATAACTCATGTTACTCTATTAACTGAGAGCTGCAAAATAAGCTATAGTTTGGGGGTATACCTAGTATGTCTGAAAATTGAGGCATTTCTGAACTTTTTGACTTTGACATTTTCAGCCCGTTTATGTCAAAGCCATGATTTACTTCTCCAATTTTGATATGAAATAAGGACTGCACTGGTCAAGACCTTTCAAATGGTATATCATACATTGCCATTTAGGTTTTATTTACGAGTTTGGAAAAAGGGTAGAAAAACTCAGGAGTGAAAGGGTTAAACTGAATTTCATTAATAAAATTTAATTTTAAAAGCACAAACCAACAATATTCTAGCAATTTGAAAATAAAAATAGTCAACTAATAGGTTCTCACAAAAAGCTGGGAGAATAGGTTGTTACAGCACACATGTCAATGTAGCAACAACTACTAAATGCAGTCAAAAATCTACGACCCAGACTAGAACTGAAAATAAGGTCCAGATAATTGAAGTGTCATGTATGAATACTAATTTAAAGTGCCACTACGATGAAAATTTTTGTATTTCTTTTTCGCTTTTTTTTAGTGCAAATGTATTTAATAGGTTTAGACAAATGCGAATTGCTATAAATTAGATTGATATATTCTTACACAGCCCAGAAATAGCTGACTGAAAACCCACGAAAATCACGTAAAATCCGTCCGCCATTACTCCGTTCATAAATCCGAGCCCACGTTCTACTGGTTTGCGATCTGGTACACTTGACTTGATTTGTGACGTAAATGACTCAACACGTCATGATTATTATTCCCTCCGGGACACAGACAACAAAGCCAAACGGCACGTGTTGAGTGACGTGTTGAGTCTTTGACGTCACAAAATCTTTAGGAAAACTCGATCCAACTCTCAGGGTTCGGTCCCGGTCATTTTTTAATTGAGTAATGGCGGCAAGCCGAATTCGAAATGTAAAGTTAAAATAATGGCGCTTCCCGTACGAGTTTTGACTTGAAACTTTGCAAGGTAAGAAACAAGTACTTATATTTTCAAAATATGAAAAGAACAGAAAATGTATATTTTTGATCATAGTACCACTTTAACAAATTAGAACAAAATTCTAAAATTCTAATATGTTATACATTTTAATGTTTTAATTTCTGGCTAAAAACTCAATTTCCAGTTCAGGAAATGTTTTGTTTCTGCAAATGGTACCAGATGAGTGTATACATTCTTTGTACTTCTAGTGGTCCTCTGGGCCCCCACCCCTGCTTCTTGGAAATTTCCATTACCACCCACGGAGGAGATATGAATATTTTTGTTGGAAAACCAAATTTTAATTGCATAGTTCCTACCTCTAAAGCAGGCCCAATTGAAACTGCTCCATCTTTCATCAATAAGGTTGTCTGTTTTGAACCACTACCAGAACAGTTCCCTGAGGGTGAAAAAATAATTATTATATATTGTATTTAGGATGCAAGGCTGTTGCCTAGCAGGTTTCCGGTAGTCTGGGACACCCAAGGTACTGTTTTTTGGTGCCCAGTAAATGTTTTTCCTAACATTTAACTTTTCTCAGGCTGGGCTCATAACTTCTCAGTTTTTGGCCTTGTGGGCTCCTTTTAAATTTTTCTAAGGCAGAAGCCTTGAAATTTATTCACAAAATTCACAATATGAACACTATAATTGGAGTATCAAAAGATTCAACTTCATTTTTCTTATTTAAAATTAAAGTAAATATTCAAGACATACTGTCAGAAGAACAGCTTCTTTAGTAGACAAGTATTAAAATATTTGGTCATTGTAATATATATTCTTAGTCAATTATAGTACTTCATTTATAAGGTATCTGCACCTTAAAGTAAATGTGATGCACAATTTGCTATCACATGTGAAATATAGACCACATTTTTTCAGATTTTTGTTTTATCCTACTATTATTTGGCAAGAATAATAATCAAACAAATGACAAGTTTGTTTACCTTTAACACTTCCCTTCTCATTTCTTGTTGTGTGCAGGGAATCTTTGGGCTGTGCAAAAAAAAAAAAGCAAAAACAATTAGGGTTTGCAAACAGATCAGTTCCAAAACTTTTTCAAAAACTAAAGTATTATAAACATAAATCAGTGCAGACATACCTGATCGACGGATGTAGGTTTGTGAAACATTTGGAGGTGGCTTCGACTGCAAAACATGCACTTGGATTTTATCCTTGTGTTCAATGTTTTGAACGGTAACATCGACCCACTCCCCCAGTCTTCTTCATACTTTTGGAAAATTATCCGTGCTTCACTGTCCAGGCTAAAACACTCTTTAACTTTTACAGCAACATCTTCATTTTGATGAAGGTCAAGAACCTTACGGCTTTCTTCGTATTGAAATAAAACCTGTAGGAAATCAAAGAAGAGAACAGCTCATGACCTGACCTTTCCGCATCATTACCAATGCATACCATTTGAATTTCAATGGAAATTAAATGTAAATAATACATCCAAACAATAGAAAACAAATTACTTGATTCAGATTGAATATCAATTGCAGTGGATGGTAAAGTAAAAGCATGATATGCGTGGATTCAAACCACTGTTACGTACCTTTCTTTCGCCTTCCGCCATCTTGGAAGTTCCATGTGAAGTACTAGTGCCCAGTTCCACTCTTGCCCGAGGTGGGGACGGGAACCGCGGTCGAAAACAGTCAAATGCACCACCCCCAGGGGACAGCTTGTTGTTCAAAAGTGATTCGATGCCCCTATTTTCCCCCACCCTTCCCCGGGACCTGGGGGGTGGGGGTTTCAATTGACTGGTGCATAATCTCAATAGGTGGAATCTTTTTTTATAGAACGCTTTGTATGTTGCATGACGAAGAGAAGCTGTGCATTCAGTGACCTTGTAGGAGCAATGTCCGCCGCTTTGCACGAGACTTTTGTTCGTAGTAAATACGCTAACAGTGTTTCTCAGTTTTTGTTATATTCATAAAGATTTTGTTCGACAACTGAAGGCGTTTCCGCCGTCCTTCTGTCATTTTTGTGTCTCTGAAATGTCCCCGGGGTGGGGGCATTTGATCACCTGAATGGACCCTAGTGTGGGGCATTTGAACGGCATTTTGGCCCGGGTAGGGGGGAATTTGAACAATAATTTTCAAAAAAGTCAAATGCCCGGGGGCTTGCCCGGGGGGGGCATGTTGAAGCTTCGATTTGACCGATACATAATAGCTCCTATTTTCCTCAAGTCGCTCTCTGTGAAGCTCCCGGATGGGATGTCCCGGAGAAGCTTTTAACTTGTGTGCGAAATTCTCAGAGTCCCTATTTTTGTCCGTGTCTTCTTTATCCTCAGTATCCGAAATTTAGACCTCCAAAGTGGCGTGTGTTGCATTAAATAGAACGAAATATTTAAAGGAAAAGCCAGTCTTCTAACATGGCAAAGTTGTCACGTCCCTCGCTCATGGACGTGCGTAGTGCCATTCATCGACAACTGAGTTGTCAGCTGAGTTGTTTGCTTCACTGACTACGAAGGCTTTCAATCAAGTCTTCAGCCATAGTGTCGTCAACTGGTGAAATACCTTGCTCATAAATTGTGCTTCTTAATTGCTCATGTACTACATCGATCGATAATTCTCTCTTTGAGTTCACGAAGCGGCCACGGCGTTCCAAACCTGACGCTCACAGTCATCTTTTAGTGTGAACCTACCGTGAACAGCATGTCGGTTTGAATGCAACGCGAGCATTTCTCTGAGTTTCCCAGCGCCAACATCATCTAACTGACTTAAACTCGAACAATAAAGAAATTATAGAGTGACTCCCATGATCGAATCGCTTCGAACAACCCAACTAGCCTTCTTCAGATTCGCAACGCTTTGTGGGTTTTTCAGGGGGAGCGCAGACGAGGTACAAAAAGTATCCGTGCAAGGGTTCGTGCAAGCGAAAATCATATGAAACCATTTGTGAGAACATCGTATCTCGGTACCAGAACCTCGTGTCTTCCCTCCCCCGGGAGGCCGTTTTTCGCCGCAGACTACCGAAAGCCCATTTTATGACTGGGCCGCACAGACAGCCCAGTAATAACTTAAGAATCTTGCTAGCATCTGTTTTTCATTTTGTGCATCCAGAAGAAAAATACAGTTAAAAGCTTCACAACGTTTATACACAAAACTCCGTCAGTTTCAGCCATCAGTAAACAAGTTTCAAGGTGCTGCATAAATTTTCCGCATGAACTCACCTGTCAACTTTTGACCAATCACAACATAAACATTGGACGTAGAGCGTGACCAACGCGTGACCATGGTGAGAAAGGTCAAAAGTAACTTCCCTGTTTGTAAAAGCTGGCTGAATTCTCGCGTCCGAGGTCAGTTTGAAATTAAAAGTTTAATAGTGCGACTCATAAACACAACTTCCTATTTCCTATGCGTTAAAAAAATTGAACTTGAGCCTGCAATCATTTGAAAAGTAGTAACTTGTCAGCGGATAACTTCGAAAAACCTCGAACTAAGTGGGCCGATACCTGAGCCCGCAATACGGTCAGGTGATGATCGTCGGCGGATGCTGTAGTTTGACAGCTGTCAATTGAACTTCATTAGAATGGCGAATTTTCAAATAAACGTACTATTGACTGCGAGTGTTAGTCTGGGTTGTAATGGAGGATTAATGGCACCCTCCCTGGGAACGAGGTTGGATTAATGGGGCGAAATTTCGTGTATTTGAGCCAACGTTGTTAGTGATCTGATAGTGGTCTTCACATGTCCCATTTTGACAGCTGTCAATAGACCTTAATTTGGCGAGCGGGTATAACTTTTAACTAACAGCCCTGGCCGGTGAAAGAGAAGTTTCATTTCATTTTCATTTTTATGTTGGTATGACGTATTATATCAGCTTATATGTAGGGAAAACGACTGATCTTTCATCTGAGCCCGCGAGATGGTCATGTGATTACTGTCAGCGGATGTCTGATTTTAACAGCTGCCATTTCATCCTCATACGGATGGCTGACAAAGTGTTAATTTCTCCGAGATGTGACATTTGAAATCAGCTTACATGAAGTGTGTGTACGGGTGGGCGTACGCTACGTCATAACCAAATTTTCTCGGATGGATAGTTTACCAAATTTTCTTACCCATGGTGCTCCGCAAGCGGGTGCTTCGCGCGCGCGAGAGCTCCGCGATAATTTTTATTCAATGAATTAAAAGAGCAGCCAAACAGTCTGACCCTGAAACATTAATTTTAAAAATGATATCGTTTGTTTAAGGAGAAAAACTAAGGATGTTTTCCTTTTCAATGCACCATTTCTTTGCGTGATCAGTTTGAGTTCCTGGTTTCAGATAGACATCGGTGAAACTTGATCATTGTGAAGAACTTTGTTGCCTAGCACGAGACTGAAAGTTTACTCTAATGTTTACCAAAGTTGACGTGTCAAGTCTGCATTCTTTGCACTATACAAGCAGTGCTTGATAAAGTGTATGTAGTGCTTACTCTACCCGAAGTGTGGTGATGAGAATGCAAGAATGAGCTTCTGGAAGAATAATTCATTTCGTTGATTTTTTTTTGTCTCTGTTTCGATAAGATCATTTCAAAACATTTACTTTGGCATTTCCTCACTCGTATTCTGGTGGAAATGTCGCCGTTTTTCAGCAGACTTAAGTCAAGATGTCGGATCAATTAAAGATTTCAAGAGTACATTCCAGAGTTGCCTTAGATGTAAATGAATGAAAGCTTGTTGCAAAGTTAATTGGAATTACATTCTAAAAGTAGGATACCCAGCGATTAACAAAGGAAACCCTGCCTGCACGTCACCAAATTTATCTCAATTAATCACGGCTTAAGTCCCTCATGAAAAGTTCCTTATAATGAGTGACTACGAGCTTCTTCAAATCCGAGAATTGTTTTGTTTTTTACAACAATTAATGCAACACAAAGCAAAGCTGTCACAGTGAAGAACAAAAGAAAAATCTTTTTCTTCCCGGACGTGTCCTAGCTGA